TCTCTCAAAACTTCCTGACTTCCCTTCGCCTGAGGCTACAGGTTCCCACTTGATAAGATTAAAGTACGGGTTCACAGTTTTTCTGAAAACAGTCAGGTGCCCAAATTAACATTGAAATGTGTTTTTCTTGCCATAAACATTCCTCCTGTTCATAGTGATCTTTAGAAGATCCCTTCATAATGCACTTACAATGTAACAATAACTTCCATTGAAAGCACATTTGTAGGGGATCTTTTAATAGCTAGTATGAACAGGAGGAATGATTACAGTAAGGAAAAACTCCTTCAGTGTTAATTTGGGCACCTGACTGTTTTAAGATGCACTTGAAAAATTGTGAACCTATCCTTTACAGGAACAGCCAATGAGCTGCACATCAAGTGTTATCACAGTGTTACACAACCTGTTGTAAACTTAGACAAGTGAATGATATTTTCCAATTCTGTCACTGAGGTCATATAGAACATTCTCCTTTATGAATTGTTGTACAAGGCATCATTTGAAGTTACCACAAGTTCTTTGGAACAAATTGACAACATCTAACTACACCAATAATCAATCTGACATCTTAACAGACACCTAACAGTACAACCTGTACCTACGTGTGCACAACAGCGACAGGCGGTTAACACTGACAAGCCGGCATTGAGAGAAGGATGTTTTATGGCTGTTGGGATCAGCTGTTGTTGTTTTTAGCGAGTCACATTGACATTAACAGCACTCCTGCTATAAAACATCAGAAACCATCGTAAACAAAATGGCGACTTCCTTGTTCCGGACAAGGCTTATCAAGAGCAAGGCTTATCAAGAGAAGGCTGAGACACGGGGTCAAACATGGGGGGATTGCACATGCGCAGTAAAACCTGGTCTGCACTTCTTTGCTGTCACCCTCCAGAATTGCAGCTCAAGTTACACTGCGCATATGCAATCCCCCCATGTTTGACCCCGTGTCTCAGCCTTCTCTTGAGAAGCCTTGGTTCCGGTCAGCCCCCAAATTGAGACAGTGCCATCTGGTGGCGTTAGTAATCACTTATATTTTCCCACTCGGCTACACAGTCAATACATTTCCAATAGAGAAACAAAAAACAATAACATATCATATCAAATAAATAAATGTCATATGGTCGTAAGACTACGATGGAGCATTAGGGCCACATTGAAGAAAAAAAAAAATTCTGAGATTTCGAGAAAAAAGTTGAAATATTACGAGAAAAAACTCGTAATATTACGAGAATAAAGTCATAACTGAGAAAAAGTCATAATATTACGAGAATAAAGTCGAAATATTATGAGATTAAAGTCGTAATTTAACAAGATTAAAGTCATAATATTACGATAATAAAGTCATAGTTTTTAAGGAAATAACCGACAACAAACAGAATGTCAGATTGTCTTTCATGCCGTTGTAAGTAGCCTACATAATGAGGTTCAGGAACCAGCACCGTGCCGGTGTTCTGACAATTTGGTTCTGTGTCAGTCGAAATGCGCTGTTTGACTTTATTCTCGTAATATTTTGACTTTTTTCTCGCAATCTCCGAATTTTTTTTTCTTCAATGTGGCCCGAACACTCCGTCGTATAAGACTTATTGGATTCCGGCTCAATCCGTTTCTTGGCTATTAGGCAGAGGAATTACATGGAGTCTCATTTCAGCTTTAAGGAGAACACATTTCCTGAGTATCTCACTTGGTCTAATGGCAAAGAAAACATCCGTCAGTTTGACCTCCTTGATGAGAGAGTCCAACTGTATGCCTATATTGTAATGTCTACAGGTATTTGTGTGTTTTTGAGACAATTTTCTAAGCACCACACGTTTTCACCTCACAGTCACACTTGTTAGTTGCACAGTTACAGTGGATACACACCAGTTTTTCTAATACACCAAATGAACCATCTCTAACCAGAACTACTGAGTTGTCTCTTCGTGATTCTCTTGCATAGTGTGCTGTGGTAAAAATGGAACCTTGGAAAGAAAACCTGTCATAACCAGACACCTGACTATCCTCTATGTGACAACCAAACAGTGTTTCTATGGGCTTCTTCAGGTTTGTCAGGGGTGGACTATGATGTCTTGTCATGCCATAAAGGTCAGTAGCAAGATGCTGTCTATTTTTCACGTTTTTCTTTTTGGTGGTGAGGGTCTCGAATAGTGATTTGCAGTTACTGCTTTCTTGCAGTAGATGAGACACCTGTTTGACAAGTACTCGTTGTAGATACAGTGTCTTACATATTTGTTCAGGAATGTGTCTTGTGCCACTGAATCCACTTAAAAGAACAGCATTGTTTCCCTCAAATGAAAAGGTGGACGTTGCCCACAGTGGCCCAAGATTTAGCACACTCTTGGGGACATGGAGAAGCTGGTGAACATTGTAAGTGGTATGCTCTTTACCATACAATACTGTCATTTGTTTCACAAATTTGGTCAACATCTTATCAGCTTCCTCAACTGCAGACTCTGTAACAGTCTCCTGCAGCAGCAGATGAATTGCAAACAAGAGAAGAAAGAATTGTCTCAGATACACAGTGGGGAGGATGCCATCCAAAGCAATGTAACCATAAAACAGAAGAAAAGCTCTCCATTCTGACCCTTTCCAATGTCTCCGTTCAGACATAGCCCTTGGTAGGCGTGTTATCTCTGATGGTGGGGCAAAACTTTGCAAGCGCTCATCTATAGCTTGAATCTGTTTGCCAATGAACCATGGTTTTCAGTGGTGAGTAGTGTCAAACCAAAGGGAGGCCAGCTGCCTCATAACACCCAGCAACACACAATGAAGATAGTCTGGAACAAAGCTATCTACTACATTGAATAGGGGAAGAGTCATTAAGGGCATTGGACCTTTAGTGCCACATACAGACTTCTGAGTCCTGTGAGCTTCAAGTGCATTGTTGACTTGTCCCTGGTGGGTTCGTAGTGTAGGTACATCTTTTGAACTATATGACCTCATGAATCCTGCTCCCTTGGGTACAGTTTCACCAGGTGTTAAGCACCAATCGCACCCATACATGCCATTGAATTGAGTAGTATTTTTGAGAAGAGGTCTTGCTATAGCATCAGCAGAGCAAACTAGGTTGAAAACCTTGGAAGTGTGTTTTTTACCAGTGCTGGGGTTTTCCCACACTATACCATCTTGAGCTAGTTTAGTACACTCAGCAATGTATGGCACTAAGAAAGTGTCCATTTTTGGCTTCATTGGTCCAAACCAAAGTGCTGTCGTCATTATATTTTGTTTTCATAGTTTGGGGGGCAGCTCAATGAGTTGTGTTTGCAAGGGCCATATTGAATACTTGGATGAACGAAAAACTGGGACCCCATCACAATTCCAGATGACTGACAAAGTATCCTTATCTAGTTTCCCCTCTGACAGTAATTGTTGGTACAGAGCACCATCCATTATATCACCGATACTTACATATTTTCTTATTTTCTTCCCCTTCAGATGTTTGGAAACATCTGACCTACTGAGAAGGTCTCTTAACTGTTCAAGCAGAGGCATGTAGAGAAAGAAACAGCCCTGCTTTAAATTATGTTCTGCATTGAAAGGGTCTGAACAGTTTCCACAATGCAGAATGCCTGGATTGTCAATATATTCAAAGCAGTTACTACAATAATGATGTATTTCACTTATTCCATTTTCTGAGTTAGTGAATGCCTTTTGGAAGAGATATTTTGTGGCTGGTAGCATACTTGGAAAAAAAAATTGAAAACAGATAAGTCCTGCAGAGCCACCCCATTCACATAGTGCTTAAGACAGAATGCCAAAAGAATCAGCAGGCTTTCACCAATGGTGACCTGGGAACCGGGATACAGTGGCTGATTGTCATTAGTCGGGTGTGTGGCATTGTCCTGGCTGGTTTCCTCATGCCCATCTTGCGTGTCTTCAACGGAAGCTTATCCATTGACCTATACAGTTGTAGAGGAATAGCAATACAAATGGTTGGAAAACTACAACCAATTTTTGGGTCATTGAATAAGCCCTTTAAATCTATAAGTAGCCCTGTTCAGTGATCTATCCCTGCTTTTAGACAATAATGTAGTTTTATTACAGTTATCACTTATTGTGTACCTCATCATCATCTGTAGACATCAAGTCCTCTTCTTCAGCAGCAAGCTGCTCAACATCATCTGTTGACAATGAATCCTCTTCTGCATCAGTCTGCTGATCTATCTGTAGCAAGGAGAACATTCAAAACCATGTTACTATTTCAGTTTGTTGTTTTTTTTTATTAATTTATTTTTTACCATCGTTAAAACTGTGTTTGATTACCACACATTTGAACTCAAATATAGGAACCAATTTTCATACCGTTTCATCTGCAATCTGTAGCAGGTTGTCGTCGTCATCATCAGCCATTTGCTGATCTGCGTGGTTGTCCTCATCAGCCATTTGCTGGTCTATGTGAATGTCCTCATCAGCCATTTGCTGGTCTATGTGCTGATTATTTCCATCGGCCGTCTGCTAATCACAAAAAAAACACATTGTTTCTGTCGCGAGAGGGGCCTCATTTATCATTGTGAATACACCTTTTTTTACACCTTGTTTTCCCCATTTTGTGCATACACACTTTTCTTTGCCAAATTTGTGATCTATCAAACCAAAACTTGATGGAAAAAGTGCAGACATTTACACCCACTCTGACCCTGGCATACCATACGGACGCGGTGCGGAATTTCGCGTTGTTGTGTTCCAAGTCCGCGCTGCGTGAACGGGTGCGGATGAACATGGACGAGAGTAGCAGCAGCAGCGAGCTAGCAAGCTAACGTTTAACAAGCGTCAACATCAACTTTCTTTAGCACTTATCACTCTCACCGCAGCCACCAAGCTGGACAATGGACTGCCAGACGTCCTTTAATTCATTGTTCATAAAATCATCCCGTCTGTTATCAAAAAGGACGGGGTGCTGTGAAACGAGGTTTATCAACCTTTCTCTCATACTGTCCTGCCTGACTGGATTTGGACTCTCCCGGGTCTGCGCGACTATAAACAAATAGTTTCATTGGCCCAGCTGTGTAGTTCCGCCGGCGAATTCCGCAGGGGTCAAAGTCTGGACGGAAACTTTTTTCACCGCATGAAAGTTCCGCCCCGGTGCGCAAACTTCCATAAGAACCCATGAAATCAGCTTTTATATTTTTCCGCGAGAATAATTTGCACGGATATTCACCCTCAGTGAGAATGGACTTTCACACCGTCTTTGATAAGTGAGGCCCCAACACAGCCCTTTGCTTATAACATTAATGTTACAACTTCATCCTGGGAGAAAAACAGCACAGAGTGCTAGCTAGTAACGTTAGCAAACGTACCTCATTGTGTTGTCTTTCCATTTCTGGATCTGCTCCATCGAAGGTCTGCTGGCCCACCTGCACAGGGTAAGGAATAAGTTAACGTTAGCTAGGCTTAGCCAACTATTGGTTATTTTTACCCAACGGCTAACGTTAAGTCTTTAATTACGTTAATGACGTTGGGTTAATGTATAACGTAACGTTATAGCTAACGTTAGACGAGCTAACTTCCCTAGCTAGCTAACACAAGCTAACGTAACTTAGAAAATAACAAAGTTATGTTTCATGTGATGTCATTTAACGTTAGCTAGCTAGCTAGCTAATATAAACAGCTGTACGTCTTAATGCAAATAATAACGTTAGCCTTACGTTAGCGCTAGCTACTTACATTTGTGGTAGTGCCAGGGGTTTCTTTGCGTTCCTCTTGCCTTCTCCATCTGTGTCTTGTTTGTTGTGGTGGGAGTTTAGACATCCCCCACAAATATCTCTTGTAATGCCCAGCCCCAGGCATAGTGACATCCTTCCGTACATTTATCAGCTAAATTAATATTTAGCTAGTTAGTATTTATTGAGTGAGTGAGCCCACTCAACCGACCTCCAAGCCCAACGGTTTTAGCAGCACGCGAGCCCTTGGCCACAAATTAAAAAAATCGCTGGTGACGCATTACCAACGAAGGCAAGGGCTCATGTGCCAAAACCGTTGGCCGGGCAACATTTAAAATTTAACAAACCAAGCTATCTAATGCATTAACGTTACCCTTCGCGTTAACACATAACGTTAGCTTTATTTATCAGGTATAAGCGTGAGGATGTATAACAGAAGATCGGTGAGGGAAAAGAGGGGTGGGAGTAGTAGCGTTAACGTTAGTGCTACAGTATACAATTCAGCCGATGACAGCGACTCGACGACTATTGTGAGTAACGTTAAGTTAACGTTAGCTGTATCGCTTAAGTTGGCCTAGCTAACGTTAGTCACTACGTTAGCGAGTGGTAGCTAACGTAAGTAACTTGCTAGCGAGCTACTTAGCTCCTCATAGACCGCTAGTTAGCTAGCTAGCTAGCAAGCTAATGTTGGCTAACATTAACTGCGATAATGTGTTAGCTAGATAAATGGGGGAATTTGGTTGTTGTGCGAGGAATTTGGGACAGGGAGGATTGAGGGGGTGGAGGATAACGTTAGTGGTTTAATTTTTCTGCTCCTCTTTCCAGACTGAAGACAATAGCAACACTTACCAGCAGGTCGAGGCAGAAGAGACGAGGCTCGGGAGTTGGGACTTCAACTGTGTCCACAGACCTGCTTTCGAAGATAGTTGCACTTAATAGAAAGGTAGGGAATTGTCTTCTACCATGTCTGTTGGTGCTTGTTGGACAGATTTTGCGGTTGAATTAACAAACTTACAGTAGCCTAGCAGTGAGTGAGTAACGTTAGAAGAACTGCACTGTGTGTGCGGTGCGTGTTTGTAATCAGTGTTGCCAGATCTTGCGACAGAAACAAGCAACCAGGGGTCCGTTTCAGAAAGGAGGTTCAACAAACTCTGAGTCTAAATCTGAACTCTGAGTTGATTTACCCTGAGATGGGAAACTCTGAGTTACCGGTTCCAGAACAGCTGATTTGAGTTAGTTCAGTCGACTCTGAGTATGTTCACTCTGAGTTAAGCCGACAATAAAAAGCCATCATCAGTGGAGCTCCGATTCCACGATTCACCATGGCAACAGGTAAATAAAAGACAGCGCCTCCATTTTAATCCAGTGGGCGTAGATATTGATGCATGTGTATGTAGACGCATGCATTTGTCACAACATTTATCTTTAAAATAAAGAGCCTGGGTCAGGGCAAGGAATGTGTCAATAAGTTAACAATAAAGTTTATTCAGTGTTGTCCGTTTATTCATCATTTATCAGACTTACATTTCCTTAATGATGAAAAAGTGGTGGAATCTGACTGTGTATCAGGCTGCAGCTACATTACATTTTAAATATATTTATTCAGATTTAATCTGACGGGGAAAAAACACAGGAGGCAGCAACTGAAAAATAGAAAGATTTTAAACATATAGGCTATAGATCAAAGATATAAAGACATGACTGTACCTCACAGTCTGACCCAGTAATAATATGTTTGGTGTTTTGCACTTGAAAAGACGTTGAGGTTAATATACAGTAGATTTTAAAATGTTAGACATCTATTTGTATTTTGACTCACCAGCATTGGCGGGCCGCCATAGTCTCGTCAGTGTATGGGAAACACTGTACTTCCCAGTTTTGTAAAGAACCAACAAGGAAAGAAACAAAAGTGCACCTGTAGCAGCATCCTTGTAGTAAATTAACAGTCTTTGGCATGTTCGGAAACACTTCATAACACAAAAGGCTGCCCTTAATCACTCAATCACTCTTAGGGGTAGATCCACAAAGAATGGGTTGCGCCTGCTAATAATAGCACCATAATTTGCGCAAAAATTGCACTTGCAATCTGCCCCAATTTAGCGTCCTGTCCACAAAAGATTTTGCACTAATGATATGCCGGCGCAAACACGCCCAAGTTTGGCAGCAGAGAGCAGTTTGCCCTTGTTTTGCATCTGAATGACTGAACGTGTCATAGCTGGCTGTGCTGCAGCCAGCTGTAGTGGCGCTCTCCACAGAGGCCATGCGTCTTTACGCACGCTGCCATCATATGCAACATTAATAATTGCAATTACAGATATCAATGACAGTGTGCCAGTTATACACCTGAGATCACTGACTAATCCCATACCTGAGAACGTGTTACCTGGTACAGAGGTGAGCATCATTAATGTGCAGGACAGAGACTCTGAGAATAACTGTCAGGTCGGCTGCTCCATGCGCAAAAAGTTGGAATAAGTTGGTTCCTTCTATTCTAAACTACTATTCTCTGGTGACTACAGGACAACTGAAACGTGAACTAGTGTCTGATTACAACATTACAATCACTGCCACTGACGTGAGATCTCCACCTCTGTCCTCCTATAGAACGGTTACGTTATGAGCAGACATCATGACCTCTCACACTGTGTCATACGTCCCGGTGCTGCGCATCAAACCAATGTTATATATTAGGCTACCCATAACTTAAGTTGTTTTTTCATTATCTTTTGAGTTTAAAATTAATAATGGAACCATGTTTGTCTGACGCCTTTTTTTTTTTTTGGTGTAATAAACTATTTGAATATCATTAATTTGCATTTGGAGTGCGTTTTGAAAATCACGGACTCGTGACATTGTGATCTGACGGTAGGCTATCCGACACACCTACATGTCAGCTGTTAAACACACACACCAGATTTATAGTGAAATAGTTTGTAACAGCACAGCGCTTATGGATGGATCCTGAGTGCCATCATCTTTCATTTTTAGTTTTAAAATCCGAAATAAGTCCACATCTCACCTGATCCTCCCCTCTGACTAGACTTCACCCTTAATATCATTCAGTATCAATTCAATATCATTTACAGCTCACAAGCTTTGAAGAGCGACAGGCAGAGAAAGAAATGATTGCGCAAAGTTAATACACGGCTCTAAATGACGGTAACAGCGCGTGCCATAGCAGAATGCGCTGGTCTGTGGATAATAGGCTTGTGCCGATTTCCGGTTTAACCGGTTCGGTCCGGTTTAAGAGCTCCACCCGGTTTAATTCACGTCAACATTTTCGTCAATGCATTTTGCACTGCATTTTGTGCACAAAGGGCCTTTGCGCGTGCTTTGTGGATAGCCTGCTATATTTTTGACCCATTTGCGCAGATTTTGCGGCCGCAAAACCTGCACAAACCTTTTGTGGATTTGGCCCATAGTTTCAAATTTCCGATTATTCATTTTTCTGCATCGATTAATAATCTTTCAAGAGAGAATCTCGATGTATCCAAGAATCCAATTTTTCCCCCACCCCTATTTATTATTGGTTTTTATGTGCTCATCTTCGGGGTTTCTTTAGTTCCAGGACCTCAAACCGATATGTCATAAAACAAAACTCAGATTTTCCTTCTTTCAGTTTAAATATATCTGTCAGCAATAAAGAAAGACAGTATAAAGTGACTTAAGCCAGGACATTCAGACAAGTGTTGGAAATAGTGCAACAGGGACTGCAGAAGATCCCATTTTTAAACAATTAACGTTACAAGCCAGAAATGGGGGAAACTACAGACAGTCTTTGTAGAAACAGATTATACTTGTACCCGTGACCCTCTTGTGTGTATAGGCGGAGGGGGGACGGGCTGGAGCCGTCCAGCAGGAAGAGACAAACTACGTTATTATCGAAAATATCTGCTTGACATCTTATGGAGCTGGGAGCAAGCCCAAATGAGCAACTACACTTTAGAAACAAACCCAAAAAACCGCAACCCACAACTACCAATATTTGTAAGCGAATTTACAAAAAAACAAGCCCAAAGTCGCTTATAATAAGCAGACTTTGCAACACTGTTTGTAATGTGTTTTTATGTTTGTGTGGGTGGGCCTTCATTGATTAGCCTTACGTGCTCTGGTTTAACATTACCAACCTCAAAATGGATACTGAGTTCAATAGCCTTTAAGCAAACTAGAATGCTAGACTGAAACATATCTAATAGGGGTTATCTTTCCTTTCAGGAAAATCAATCATTGGAACTTTTCTCCTCACAAGTAAGTGTTAATTTCCAGTACATTTACAGTACATTAGCCTGTTCAGTACAACATTACAACTTTTAGACATTTTCTATTTAAAATAAGACAAGTTATTTAAAGGGATAGTTCATCGGAAAATGAAAATTCACCCATTATCTACTCACCCTCATGCCGATGGAAGATGCTGTGAAATTTGGAGTCCTCAAAACAGTGGTGTTCTAGGGGGAGAAAGGTTTGCAAAAAATCTCATACAATGGAAGTTTATGGTGCTCAAAATTCAAGTGTCCAAAAATCACATAATGAAACCACCAAATATCTCCATACTGCTCACACTTAGTGAACCAAGTATCCTGAAGCCCTGACATGAAAGTTTTTTTTTAACCTAATTAGACCTCCATCTTTAGCCTCACTCTAGCCTGTGGCTTGCTTAGTTTGTAGCCTCACCTAAAAACAGGCTAAAAACAGAGTTTCAATGGCATTTTTTTGGAAAAACTATGTGTGTGGGCTTCAGGACACTTGGAACACTACAGATAAGCAGTATGGAGATATTTGGTGGTTTCATTGTATTTTTTGGATTTTGAATCTTTTGTATTTTGATCACCAGACTTCCATTACCAGTATATGACGTTTTTTGCTAACCTTCGTCCCCCTGGAACTCCATCCCTGCTTTGAGGACTCCAAAATGTCACTGCACCTTTCATCGGCATGAGGGTGAGTGGATGATGGGTGAATTTTCATTTTTGGGTGAACTATCCCTTTAAATAAGCCTTGAGAACAGGTTCTTGAGCTTAGTGGCCCATAGGGCAGGAACCCATCTCCTGTTTCCTTAGTGTGAGGCAGCTTGATATACAAGTACAACCCCTGGACATGATGCGAGTATGTCGCTGGGACTTGCCCCAATCCAACCTTTTGCAATCTCTGGGGGACACTCTTCTTACAGACACTTTACTTTTCTTATTTTTTATTTTTTTCTTGAAGGAAAGCTTAGATGATGCAGATGCCACATGTGAGAGAGGCCTGCTGCTCAACAAAATACAAACACTAGAAAAGGAGAACGCAAAACTGTGGAGGGAGAATTCTCACCTCCGGACCAGTGTTGTGTTGTTTGACAGTAAGTACTTAATAGACCCCCTACACAAATATAATTACCACACTGTTTTTACCACCATTTCACAGCATGCTAGCCATGGTCTAGGGAAGACAAATTATTCACTTAGTCATTCTTTTCAATTATGTTTGTTGTGTGTATATCCTTACAGAGCTACCCGATCTTCTTGATAAAGTGCAAGCCCTTTCAGGAGCTATAGAAGGGGTGCAGCAGGATCTTCTCGATAAAGTGCAAACCCTTTCAGGGGCTATGGGAGGGGTGCAGCAGAGGTCAGCCATTACTTCGCCTGAGGCTGCTGATGTCTTGTGAAAACAGGTAATGATTGGCTGATTGAACTGATTGGCTAGTAACCATGGTAAATTCTCAACAACCCACAGCTGCGACAGCATTTTTGGTGTTAATGCGCACCTCCCATTTGATCCAATATATGAGAGTGACGTATCAGGGTACTTTCCCTTAGCCTGGCGAGACCATCCTGATCTTGCAAGCTCGTGTTCAATTTTGCTCTGCTCTAAAGGCAAATGGTCTGGTCTCACCAGGCTAACGTTCCCTCCCTTGCATGAGGAACTATGTTGCTTGGCAGAATTGATGAATTGATGCTTCGTTTTGTAATATTTTACATTGCTGTGAATGTATTCTATACCAAAAGCATTGGTAACCATTGAAGAAAAGCAATTGACCACTTGAGGGCAGGGGTTTACGGGGTAGCTGCTAGGGGATAGTCTAGCTGTTCTGACTCCCTTCCTTTCATAGTCAATTGCTTAAAGAATCTACCCCTAGGCCCCCACCTCGACCCAAAAAATAAATCTTTTCTGTCTGTACTCATTCTGTACATTATTCTGTTTTCTTTAACAGACTGACATTGGAGGAGGGGTCTTTGTGCCCGAGAGTTCACTCCGGTACTGTGACCACTCACAGTACCGGAGACTAACCACTGGTCTACTGACCCTACTGTTCACGAGAGAAGAACTGGGGCAAAGCAGCTTGACGGGAAAGAGGTGCAACATACACAAAGAGGTTGGTCCCAAGAAAATGCTGGAGGCAAGAAAACTCGAAGCACTTGTTGGTGAGATTTTAAGCTTTTTTCTTGCTTCATGTGCTTGATAGGGATGCACTGAAGTGAAAATTTGTGGCCGAAGCCGAATAAAATTTAAACACATGGTTAAATACCAAGTACTGAATACCGATTGTGGTTGTTCACTGTTTTTCATTTATTTTGCCATTTTTCTTACAATATTATAGATTAAATTGCGATGTCATTATTAACAACAAAAAAACAGTAAACTAATATGAATTGAGTGACTAAAGCAGCTGGTTATAATAAGGTTATTGCTTACATTGACCAAAAGGTGGCTCTCTAACATCACTATTTGTATACTGTGTGTGTTACTCTGACGGTTTTACACTCTGTTTAACGTCATTATCAGGTCTTTTTTTGCAATCCATCTCACGACGACAAACTGGTAATTAAGGAGTTAAAACTTACTCGCCACAACGGGGCAAGAGCAGGCGGACTTCCCCGCTGCAACAGAAACATCAGTAGGAGCATCTATTACATTATTAACTGTAGCACGAGAGGTTAGCCTATTTCTGACAGTATTAGCTAAAAAGGGGCTTGCACACTGCCGCACAGCAAAGTGCTGCCTCCGGTCATTTCAATGGGAAGAAGACGGTGATCCAGTACTTACAGCGGCACTCACAACACACCCGTTCTGTCTACCGCCCTCTCCCCCCTCCACCGCGAACCGCAGCATGTCCACAGACTATTACACCCTGACGGTCCCGGTGTTTCTTCCGCAGGCTCCACTTCACTCAGTTGCCCAATATACCCGCTGCTTCTGCCCACTTTAACCTGAATAACAAACCAGGGCTCGGTGCTCCAGTTGGATCCAAACGGAGAGCCGGGGCTAACGTAAAGCTGGGAGGCTAGCGGAGGCTAACTGGCTGTGCTGGCAGCTGAGTGAAGTGGAGCCTGAGGAAGAACATGAACCTACATGAACGCGCAGCCGGACCAGCTTGTAAACAAGGGGCTGGAGATCAACACAGAGAGAGGGTGTGTGAGGTCATGCTATACTCCAGATGAAATTACACCTCCAGTTCTTCACATAGGAATTTTTTAATTCTTTCAATCTAGAAATGATGAATTTCGCTTATTGCTCCTTTAAGGGTTGGTGGTTCGAATCCCGGCTCCGCTATCCGCATATCGAAGTGTCCTTGAGCAAGACACTTTACCACTAATTGCTCCCAATGGGCCAAGGTGGAGCCTTGCATGATGGCTTGATGTGGGAATCTGTGTGAATGTGTAAATGTCTGTCTGTGTCAGGCGGTCAGGAGTTGGCCAGAAGCTTGATGCTTTTGGAGTGCTGCCATTTTGTCCAATTAACTACACTCCACGTGGTTCGTGACGCAAGAGTAGTCGGATGTAAAAATAGCTCGTGTAGATAGCCCATGCGCAGTTACTCTACTCGGCCATGTGGTTCTGTGACGTAAGAGTAATCAGATGTAAAATAGCTCATGTAGCGAGCCTATGCACAGTTACTCAGCCATGTGGTATCATAATGCAACTGAAGTAACTGCGCATGTGCTATCTACATGAGCTATTTTTGAATCAGACTACTCTTACGTCACAGAACCACGTGGGGTGTAGTTCATTGGACAGCATGGCAGCGCTCAAAAAGAATCAATACGCTCTGCATAGGATGAATTGCGTGGCCCTTTCCGGTTCTTCTGATCTTCCATGGTCTGTGTCCTAGTTGGAGAGCATGTTGAGCATCATCTGTGACTACCTCACCTCTGTCTGTCTGTTGGGTCCGTTTTGCTCAATATCTTTGTGGAAAGGGCCCACAGCTTCCAAACTTGGTGTGAGGGGCCTATACATTAAGTCCTTGCTAATCCATGTTAAAAACCATACCCCCTTTATTGTGATTGGGCCACTGGTGTGGGTGAACTACCGGGCCGGGGGTCGGCACTCATCGAGTGCCTCTTTCTAGTTAATAATTGTCATTCTGTTCTTGTCTTTTTTGCCTTACAGGCTATGTGATGGAAAAGTGTGGCGCTACCAAGAAACAGGTTTTGAAGGTGGTTAAAGCCAAGCTGAATTATGAGGACAAGGCAGTGAAGCGTCAAAATTTAATGTAAAATGTAATTAATGTAATAATTTGCAATTAAAATTGTATGATATTTTACACCCTGGTTTCACGTCTCACCTGAATACTGAACCATGATACTGAACTGGTAAATGGTAATGAATGGGACAGTTTCATTATCAGAAGTTGTGAGAATGTTGTAATTTAAGAGTAAAAGTCAAGGAGTGAGTTGTTTATATGTAGTCATTGCTTAATAGTAAGACAAAAGTAATTAAGTGGTAATCATGTAGAGGTTCAGTAGTAATTTCAAAAGGGTTGTGCAGCAATGAAAAGTTATTCAATAGTGATGAGTAGTGATAAAACACTACACACACAGAAGGATGTAGTAATTCCATAGGGATTGTGAAGACATACAGCAGTAAATTATCTCATTATTAGACTCCATTGGCTTCAGTCAGGGTGTACACGAACCCACTCATTGTTTTAACCATACCCTCGATCTAGTTCTGAGGTATGGAATTGAAATTGATAACCTAAAAGTCTTTCCACAGAATCCCTCGCTATCAGATCATTATCTGATTACTTTTGATTTCTTTTTACCCGATTACACGCCACTCAGCAACAGTTACTATACTAGATGTTTATCAGATAGTGCTGTCGCAAAATTTAAGGAAAAGATTACTCCGTCGTTAAATTCAATACCAAGTCCCTCAGTAACAGAGGTTTCCTGTACCGACTTTGATCATTTTGTCGATAGC